TATTTGTCGTAGTCATCGTCAGCGGAGGCGACGGCGAAAGTGGAGAAGTCTGTGCAACCTTATCCTATCGGCGTYGCGTGGGCTGGCGGCGGCGGTGGTGATGGTGGTCGGTCATTCAAATGGTCGGAGTTATTGGCCGCTGCTCGGCACGGCTGGCGCGACGTTGCACGTGGCCGGCGGAGCGGCGAACTTGTGCATCTTGGAGGCGGCAGTGGCCGCAGCGGAGGCGCCGGTGCCGGACGACTTTTTGTCGGCGGACGGCGAGCAAAACAGATTGGCGTTCGAGTCGCTGTTAGGGTCACGTGGCGACGGACTCCGACCGACTGCCTTGGCTGCGGCCAGAGCCGTGATCTGGTTCACCACGTCCTCCATCTCGTCCGAGAGGTTGGGCGACGGTTGAAGCTGCTGCATGTGCAGTTGCTGTTGCTGGTGTTGTTGTTGTTGCTGTTGATGGTGGTGGTGGTGATGGTGCTGCAGGTGCTGGTGGCGGCCCACTGATGAAGCGGCGGTGCCATAGTGACCGCCGCGGTGGGCCGTCTCGATGTGCGTGCGAAGAGCGTGCACGGTGCCGTACGTATTGGTCTCGCCGTTGACGCCTACGCCACACGATCGACACCCGTAGGCCGGGTGGGCCAAGGCCACGGACCCGGTGGTGCGGCAGTCGCGCTGCTGGTGCGCAGCCAGGCCCCCGTTGTCCGGGAACGCCAGCTGGCACTTGGCGCAAGCGTGTCCGACCGTCCGCCCGCCGTCGATGGCGTAACCCTCGGCCGGAAGTTCAGAGGCTGGCACGGTGGCCGCAACTTCGACCACGGCTGTCTGGTCTGGTCGCACTGTCCGACATCGATCGGCGATTGCCTGAATCACCGACTGGTCGAGTTGGAGCATGCGCACCGGAGTTCCCGACGAGCCGGTCTGCTGTTGCTGTTGCTGATGTTCTTGTGGACCAGCGGCTGCTGTCATGGTGCCCGTAGACGTATTGTTGTTGTTGTTGTTGACGGCGGCGGCGGCTGCGGCTGCTGCTGCTACTGCAACTGCGTTCGTACGCATACCGTTTGTCGTGGCCACTGCGGTGCTAGGGACGCCTCCAGCTGTAATGATATTCACGATATTAGAATTTCTCACTATACAAATGGATATGACGGAGTGTATAATAGTTAAAAAATTAATTTTATAATAATATTTCAACTCTTATATAGAGTTTCCGTTGGTTAAATTACTGATTTACATTGAGTGGTTTTTTTTTTATTTGCATGAATTATATTTACTTTTAGYTGTGACTGTTTGTCCTAAAAGAACTCAGTACAATATTAATATCTAAGCAAATCAGTATAATATTATTATTTAAATTCGATTTTTTCAACGATAATCTGTGAATGATTTATGGTCATAAAAATGTATATTTCTGATATATCACGAATATAAATATAATACTTAAAACATACATAAATATATTATATCGATGTGGTTTTTGGGTGATACGGATTTGATTTTTGGTATACACTGAGCAGTATATTATGGAACGTCAGGCGTAAAGGTGGGTACCATCACGCGGTATAACTCGTACATAAATTAAAATCGCATTTTAGTATGGTAACGTGTGGCTACTATCATAATTTACTTATAATTCATGATTTATTATTAATTCATGTACCTAATTAAAATATGGTTGAATATAATATACACGTGTTATATAGTAATGTTATATAATAATCAGTTTTTTAATGAGCTTCGCATGGTCTCCTGACACTTTAATCGATATAATATCTATATTACTTTTTATATTATTAATCATTATTGACGCAATAAAGGACAAACAAAAGGGCCCATAAAYACAATTTATGGCACTGCCGAATTTAATACGTTTTGTTACCTATACATATTATAATTAAAAAGAAACACAATATGTGCATTGTACAATTATGTACATGTAACATCGTCATATGGTACGACACGCGGTATTGTGAAAACCTAAATCCCTATGGATCTCTATATAGTAATCGGAGTTAAAGATTTTCCGTTTTCCGATGCAACATCGATCGTAATATATACTAAAAGTTGGGAAAACTGCAAAGTGGGTGGGCCTATATCTAAATAACTAAAATGCGTTTMAGTTGTTATCGGGAGTACAAGTTTGCAATTTTTTGATACAATAAGACGAGGTAAGTTGAGTTATATACACTTGTATAGCGTATGGACAGTATATGCAATAGGTCAACCATAATGGCATTARTTGCATAAGTCATACACATTGGTATATCATATATTATAGGAACTGACCGTGAAACGATCGTACCAATAATAATAGTATGTAATATACGTTTTTAATTATTTGTGTAGGTAGGTGCATATTATAATATATTAAGTATATATGTATATAGACGGCACGCCGACGTTCGGTCAATAATAATTTGTCGAACACGGTCTGTGGTGATTTTAAAAGACACACTTAAACGTTATCTGTCGTCGGAGAACGACGAAATGTAAAACAAAAAAAAAAAAACAAAACCGACAAAAAACCAGTTTAGTAGAGAGATAATAAAGGGCCGAACGAGTCTGCCGCGCGATAAAACGCGGTCCGTGTTAAAATACAACACGGTCGGATAATGGACGCGACGAGTGTGGCGTGCACGGAGTACCTGTACTAAGCGATAACAGCCGTCTCTCCCCTACATAATAATATGTACTTACTTATGACACACACACACACACACACCTACACACCCAAGCACACTGTATTATCGTACTATTATACAGCGTATGATATTATCTACCTATTCATATAATATATATATATATATATATGCATATCTTATACACCCTCAATCACGCTGTATCACACTTATTGCTCTGTCTCTGTCTTTCTATCGAGACGACACCTTCCGGGCGGCCGGCCGACTAGCGACCGACGTTATCATCTGCAGTTGTTATGAAACAGCATCACCGCGACATTGCGACGGTATATGATAACGGCGGTTATCTCGAGGAAGCCCGATGAACGAGTCCCGCGTGCAGAACTCGTATATGATGAAATTAATAATACTGCGGTCTGAATAYCACGCGAAATATTCGRTACCTATATTATACAACGGCGTATGTGATGATATGATTTATCTTATATTATTGAGTTAGCATGTTATAATTTTCATTGAAAAAAAGAGACACACCGATCGCGACGATCAGCAGGCTCAAAGCGCGCACCGACCCGCGACAGACCGTTCACGTCCTCCCTAAAATATGTAACAACATATAAAACACACACACATATAGTTATCAATTTATTGAGCGTATACACAAGTTACATAATAATATAATTAAAGGCACCGTAAAAAATTACGTATAATATTATATTCGTCGCKTATATCGTCCGTCCAAATACTACGTTTTTTTAATAATACAGGTACTATAGCTCCTCCGTGCTATAGTATAATAATATTATAGTTTCGTCATTCCATCACGTCTGTTTATATTTTATTTTGTCCGTAGAWACGAAATCGGTTTCATTCCTCGCGATGACTTAATTATAACATATTTTGGGTACAATAATAATGMGATGTACTATACAGCAGTTGTTGGCGTCTGCGACTATGGAACGTTTTCGGTCCATTTCGATCTCATTCGATACCTCAAACATTTYGTTTGCCCAACACGCGTCGTACACATAATATAGTATTATAATTATTTTAAAAGTGATTCTCCCAAAGTATATATTTTTTGTGCGCGCGTGTTTTAACGACGCGATCGGTTAACAACCGTAGAAAAAAAAGAGACGAACGCGACACGCGAGGCGTAAAATTATTATTCAGCCACTATACTGTGAAACGGTCCGAGAACGACGGCGATAAGAGACTGTGTATATTAKTATTTATTATGTAAGCAGCACGATTATTTGTACCTWAGATCATTGTCGCGCGAGCTTATAATGTGACAAAGTGTGTGTTTTTCAAATGTTCTCACATACACACGTGTAATAGTAGTAATAATTGCATATCACTCTTAATATACTCGTTTTTTCATTAACGCGTCCGAACGGCCGGAACGTTTCATTAAATTATGCGAGTCCAGGAGTCTGACGCACTAACACAATTCGACTGTTAATTTGTTTTTTTTTTTCGTAAACATGCGTCTCCGATATAATGCAGTGGCGGTGTCCTCAGATATTTTATTTTGTTATGATAAACTGGTTTGCAACTTTTTTCAAAATTGTACAAACAATAACGTAAAAACAGTAATATTCGTACAAATTAACTCATAATACGAGGTATAATATTCTAATAGAGAAGAATGTGAAGCGTATAAGGCACATCTATAATGAATAGTTTAAAATCCAGTAAACCAAGTCTTGTATATTCACACTTGTATGTTCGACGTTTTTATGAAAATGTATTGAATAATACTTTTATCTAAAAGTCCCAAAGCTGTATTTTGCTATCACTTCAATAGTGTAATAATTATTCTTAATTGGTCGACATGATCCCTTTAAATGAAAATTTTAACTCAAACCCACCTCATATACTGCCCACCGTTTATTAATGTATTTTGTRTCACGTAATCGTGTACTGTACATATTATCATATTTTATAATTTGAATGTGTAGAATAATCGAATCGTTATTTAAACAGTATCCACTATATATCATATCGATGGGCCAATCTCACTTTTTAGCAAAATTGAGGTGATRAGTTAGTATAAATGTTGATCTACATTTAAATAAACCCACATCAATTTTAATTTAAAAAACAAATTACCCTAATTACTGGAGGTCGTAAAAAAAGCTATAATAAATTAAATAAATAAAAGCTACACGCCAAGCTACAATCTTTCATTAAAAATCTGGTGCTATCCGATGAATTTCATCATTTTTTRTTGACATTTTCGTCGTCACGACGTATTATAATCGCTGTGCCGATTTTTCTCTCCCACTCTTGTCATGCCTAACACGCCATAATACACGCGTAGTGCGTATGATACACTGTTGACCGGTCGTCGTTTTCAGTTGTCTTTACTGATTTTTTTTTTCAATTTTTTTTTT